GTACTGAAGCGCCTAATCAGGTTTTTCCTTTACTCATTTGCACAGGTAGACGAACGAAGCACTAATCCGAATCACTGGAGACTGAAAACATTATGGGAAGCGCGGCGTCGATTCCCAACATAACATGCCCTTATTTACAAGACAATGCCCAAATTCGAGTTCCCATACAACTTCAGACAGAGATAAGCCAGGAACTCGTTTGGATCTGTTCCACTGTAGCGGTTCAAGCGAGCGTGGAATTTGTTCTATGCTAGCTTTGTCGAGGGCACAGCCAAAGATTCAGTCTGAGATCAGCTTTTCTTGAAATAATACTCTAGGATGTTTTCACACGGCCAAAACAATAGTAGAAGCAGGATGAAAAGCTGCAAAAACAAATCTGACTTCAATGTCAACGAGTCTCTGCACCATGTTTCGCTTGTCACTACACAAGTTCAGCAGTGCTATTAAAAGCAGACTCTGACTATCGCAACAAAGCAAACTCCGAGAAAACCATTGTCTCGACGAGCCTCCAGTTCCGTTTCATTAGCAGGCTATTCTCGGCCTGCCCTACCATGACAACAACCCTAAGTGTGTGCCTGCTCTTGCTAGCATAGATCGGATTCGAATGTTCAACAAATCAACAAAACAAAGCTTTTTACTACTAGAGGAAAAATTACAAAGTATATAAAAAAAAGTGAAAAACACTATACAAACGCCATAAGAATGAAAAATACAAAACGCTATATTAAAAAAAAGAATTGCAAAACACAATACACATAATTCGCAGCATTATGACTGCGACTAATCAGAGTCATAAAAAACATTTTACATAACAGTCACAAGCAAAGAGCAGCACAAACAGAACAATCACTTAAACAACATACAAATACTTCTGCGCAGTTTTTTGCCACGCTTCCTCTGGCAGGCGACTGCGGTCCTGCACCATCAAAAATACTGGCCGCCTTCCCAGGGCAGTGTTCGCGAGCTCGAACGCAATTCGAACAGCCGCCGGCATCTCTCGTGCAATTCGGACTGCTGTACTGCCTCGCAGCGATGCCTCGTTGCAGTGCGAGCAACCTTTACGGCGGTTTCTCCGCAATAAGCGCCCAAACTCCAGCAGTAATCTTCACGCGAGGCACCTCTTCGGCAAATGCTGAAATGAGATACATAATGCTTTCACAGAAATGGTCCGTAATCACTAAGACAACATGTAGCTGGTAAGTGCACTGTCAAATTTTGGTTCTGCGCGAACTGGCAATCGAACAGCTTGAGAGGCCCAATCGGAAGAGGATAATTTGACTCCTACTTTTACTGTTACGGCTCCAAATGCCGGAAAAAAAAGAAGTGTCTGAATTACTGCATTTTCTTTATGCAGAAATATTCCTCTTCTTTGTTCGGTAATTCGTCTTAAATAAAGTTACACTAACTTTGTAAGTTTAACAAATGCAGACAGCGGCGCATCCCACCACCATCAACTTCACATACTGCTTGACTGGCGCGTCTTCGGTAACATTATCCTCATCTTCCAACCTCATATCGCTGGAGCCACATCCAAGGCTCGTGCCTTCCAAGTCACATTCGGTCAGCTGTGCCCGAAATGGTTTGTCTGGAAAAGTTTGAGCTTCAGGTATCGTTCGCATATTTTTTCCAAACGAATGATCGTTTTACACCAGAACGCGGCTACGAACCTATACTCTAAGCGTAAGAAGCGGCTTCTTTGAAACAAAGCCCCACGGAATGAGGCTTTGTTTGACATACATTAGGGCTGTAAGTCGATGCCAAAAGACAGATTAGATCGAAGAATTCGAAACCAGTACCAACCAAAATCTGAGGAGTCCTACATGGCTCTTGGTATTAGTAGTTAGCTGCGAGAACCACTGTGCTAATGGCTGATGTGATGACATCTCACGCAGACCCATGACGTATGGAGAGAATACGGAACTGCTGTTCGTTCACTTGGCGGTGCCACCCGACGGGTCGATGAAGTGGACTGGCACTTGCAGCGACACTGACTCTTCAGAAGACAGCCAAAACAGGAACGGCAAAGCTCACAGGGCACCGCCTGGCTAAATCCGAAAGAAATTGGGCCCATCGAGTCATGCATCCCCAACCAGTCAGTCACACAACCAACGAAACCGAAGCTGCAAACTGGGATAACACGACCGCGACCACAGGCGGATCCAGGATGGGGACCCATACACCAGTGCTACAAAAGTCTGAGTCTTAACCTAAAACTGAAGAAAATTCTCCCCCGCACCCCTCGTCGGTCTCCCCCCTCCCCCGCTACGAAATCACCGCAGACCCGCCTATGCCTCCGACCTCCCAGCTTCGACCAATCCCAAGAACCAACCCGTCGGCCAACATCAAACATTTACATATCGATTAGTCTACTAGGCCCATTTCTGGATAGCGTCGCAATGCAACTGCTGTGTTCTACGCAGTTTGAAATTCGCCAACGAGTGGCTCCAGTGGACTGCACGCATTTTTACCGCTCTTCAGCAGCGATCAGTGATCTGAATTTTACATAAAAAACTAATGTCGTGTTGACACAATACCAAGTTGTAATTTCTGACGCGAACGCAAAGCTGGGAAAAAAATCTCTTTATACTTCGTGGAATCATGCGTCGGAGAGCATTCGATTCGACATGCATAAAAGTGATAAAGCTCGACTGGGTTTCACAGCAAAAAATGTGACAATTAGTTTAGTCTTTTTCAACGCGTGCAGAAAGTTACATTTTCAGCGTAAAGTACGAGACAGATGAGTGGTAGTAATTGCTTATTAACAGCGAGTCGTCGAAAGGGCTCACAAAAATGCTCAAAAAACACATGAAAACTGTTTAATAAATATATCCGAACACAGATATGCGACAAAAAATCCGAA